GTATTAGGCAGAATTTCAGATTGAAATAAAGAATTTCAGATGTAGAGAATGATTGTTGATTACAGTATTAGGCAGAATTTCAGATTGAAATAAAGAATTTCAGACGTAGAGAATGATTGTTGATTACAGTATTAGGCAGAATTTCATATTTGAAAGAAAAAATTTCAGACGTAGAGAATGCTGTAGTTTCTTATAAACTTCTTCAGCCAGATGTAATTGTATGTGCAGTAGATTACTTTTGTAAGTTGTGCATAAATATACTGTAACTTGATAAATGTTCTTAAAAATAAGTTCAAATGAGATGAAAAATGTTTTTTAATGGTTGTTGTTTTTATTTTCTGTATGAAACAGTAACTTCTTGTAATGAAAGTTTAATTTATAAAGTAAAAATAAAACTAGATATGAATTTGTAAAGATATACTACACAAGTTTTGACTAGTTGTATTTAAATTTTTTTTGTTAATGAGTTGTAATTGAATGCTTGTTTTCAGTGCTACTAAATTATTCTGAAAAATTGATTTATTAGATGTTTTTTATTATTATTATTGGGACATAAAATATTTAAGTATGAACTATTTTATTTTACAGCATTATATGAAGAAACCTTTTGAATTACCCCTTAACCCATTTAAGAAAATGCTGTATGTCTGGTCAAGGATATATTTTTGAAGTAGCTGAGTCCAGTGGACCCAATTTGTCAAACTTTCAACTTAGTTATTGTTACTCATTTAGTAAAATTTTCAAAGAGAAAAATGTATTAGATCAGCAAAACATTGTTATTCATTGATAATTTTTCATCTTGAGCTTTGAAAAATGAATCTTTTTATTGTTTTCATGATTTGATTGATGAAATGTTATTCACTCTCACAATTTGGACTAGAAATTATTGAAAGCTTAATATTTATATTGCCATTTTTGATTGTCTATTGGCCACTAGGTATAAAATATTTAAACATTTCTTTTGAATTTTTTTTTTTACACCTTGCATATGTTCAGACCATAAAAGGTTTCTTGTAAGAATTCAGGTCAATACTACTTCTACATTTTACATTTATTTAGACCTAGACTTTGAACTAGCTAAGACAACTAGTATCATTATTTTCTGTCTTTGAACGAGTCTATTAGTGAAAAGTGATTAATTACTTCTTCACTGTATGTTTATTTTGTAATCTTACTTCTTACACTGACTAGTCCATGTAGTTTTCACTGTTAATCATTCTGAGTCTAATAACCAAATAGTAACAATTCTGATGAGTCCTGATAAACTGAAATATATATATTAATATTTCTTTTTCAATAGTTGCTCTTTTGTTTTGCACATGTACTAATGTACATACTGGTTCTGGTCTTTTTTTATGCTATAAGTTGGTCTTGTGGAGTTCAGTCTGTTCATTTATACAGTTTTCTTGTATCTCACATGAATAGATTCAGAATATAACCTTGCTCATAGCAAACACAATTATTTCCATTCTTACGTTATTTTCCTGCTGTGATAGAATTCAAAAGCAATATGTAGAAGCAAGTAGTGTACTGAATTACTTTGTTGATTTGACTTAAATTTATCAATTTTTAAAATTAGAACATTAATTATCATTTACTATTTGTCATAATTTCATTTATTCATTCACAAACCAACTGGGAATTTTTTGTAAATCTCAAATATTTAGATATTCTAGGTTCAGTGAAATATATAAAGAACAACCAAGCTTTAGGTGAAATATTTATGTAACTGCTGTGTTCTGTAGTTGTTAGACTTAAATTTACCACCTGCTTCAATTGTGTTAGGTAGAATGGTTAACTCTTTAAGCAATAGAAATGTAAACATATATGAAAAGTGTAGGATTTTCTTAATTGTTGTTTTGTAAATTTTGAAGACCATATCTCCCTACTGAAGTTTAAAGAGTGCCAAAATATCTTATGGATGTTATCCAAAATGAGAGTGAAAACTGGATCTTTTTTACTCCTGAATTGGAAGGTATACAGGAACACTTTTTTTATATACACTATAAATACTCTTTCAGTTTTTAATTTTTATCTTACTGAAAAGAATTTTTAACTTATAACTTTAAGTTTTGAATTTTTTTTAATTTTAATTCAAAAATTGATTATGAAATTTCATTTCGTATATTAGCTCATTTTGACAGTTTCATATCTGTTTCCATAAAATTTTGTTTAATTTTCAAAATTATGTACTACATATTCTCCACAAAGTAAAGGGTAATTTAAAATTTTGACTTTAATTAGATAGCAAAAGAGAGGGGTGTTAGTAAGTGCCTAAAATCACCAGCATCAGACATGGATGTAAATGTGCACAAATAGCTAGACAGATGTGTCTTGGTGATGGTGGAAGTGTGCGTGCCGTAAAACAGATGCAACATGAGTGACATTGGCAATATCAGCTCCATACTGAGAGATTAAACTGTTGTCTCATGCCATGATTGGAATTAGACTTGAAGCAGTTGTAATTGATAGACCCTGAAACTGTTTAAGGGTGTATAACTTTACATGTTTTTGAACTGATATATGTCAACAAAGTTGCATGTTGCCACACAACATGCTATTAGCTAGCTGCTGTTGCTCAACTCTCTTGCAGCTCATTTGATTGCAACGACAGTGGCAATTAATTTGGTTCAAGTCATTCTTCTTCTAGCTGCATGTTGGTCAGAATGCACTCCACAATTTTAATAATCCTCTAGTGTAAGAAATTTGTAAATGAAGCATGACTTTGTTGAAGAACCTTGATTTTTGAGTCCTCTTTTTTCACAGACTCAACAAGACATCTGAGTCTTGCTGTTCACCATTCTGAAATGGTTGGGTTCCATTGTTTGATGTTGCTTTTTTAAGAATTATCTGCCAAAAGTTAATTCTCCCTTTAAAAGCCATTTTATAAGTTGTTATATGCTTTATGAAATATTTTTCGAGATGCAGGCATTGTTGCTCATGCTATTAGCAAGATGTTTGAAGATATATCTATCTATACTCGCAACTATTTCCAGCTTCATCAAAGGCCTGTACATGTATTTATGACTTTAGAGGCTTCTGTTTAGAAAATTCTAATTACTTCTATTCTTTATATAGATGTGTTTCTCACCTACAACAAGGACAGCTATATCTTGGAAAGTGTCTCTACGTGAATTTAAATGTGAAAATACTTAGCATTGCATTACTTTTATAATTTCTTATTTCCACATGTTTTGCACATTTGAAATTTGGACAGACCAAATCCTCCTTGGCACATTAATTGAAACTTTCCAAACTTGTATCTCGATATTCACAACATTACCTGTAAGTATATGTTCTGCCCTGCGTGGTCTATCATTCTAAATCAGTTTGTGTTGTTTTCTCTATACCATAAGTACAACTTTTGAGCATTTTACCACAACACAATTGTACAGCATGCATTTTTTACTACTGAAACAACATTTTCAAATCAGGGTATTGTTCTTGTGACATGGTTGGTCATTTTAGGTTCTTAATGATACTCATCTTGTATAATTTTTAATAGTTCCAAAGCATCTGTAGAAAGATATGAGGATGTTTGATTCCGTGCATTTTCTGTAATGCACGAGGAAAGCTCTGCCAAGCCTAACTGTTCATTTCTTTATAGAAATACAGATTATGCTTTGAAGTTTCCAAAATCACCAGTATAAAAAAGAAATTAATCAGCTTTGTTTATTCAAAGTAATAAATTATTTCATAGAGATAAAACAAGTTCTAGAAGACAAACAATAAACAGATTTGTACATCTCATATAGTAGGTATATGTATGAAGTTTTTTAAATGTTAATAAATCAAATACATGTTTCTCAATAGATCAAATACATGGTTCTTTATAGATCAAATATGTTTCCAATGATAAAAACTACTCATTTTGTTGTTTTTTTGTCTAGCACAGCTATTGACAAAACCTGTTGATTAATGCCAGTTAAACAAATTATTCATTTTTGTATGTAACCATGCTTTTAAGATTTAAGCTTATATTAGATAAGCTGCTAATTATTGTGTGATTAGAAATACATTGATGGTCAGCTGTATTGTTTCATCCAATGCTTTCTCAAAATATACATTATCAAAATATTTTTCATTGTTCTATAAAACATTTGCAAGTACTTTAGGAAGGCACATTTGACTGAGCATTTAACAACAGTTTTTTTGTAATTCATCATATCAGAAATTATCAGTCTTTGATAATTATTCATTGAGCACTGGAAGGAGAACAGTGTTGTTGACACTTCTATTTTGTTTGTCATTAACTAAGAAAATGGTAACACATTTACAGTGTTAGCTTTAGTTCTTTATCTGTCACTGGCTGAATATTTAAAGAAAAATTCTAGATAAGTAAAATTACTTGTATTATCAATTGTTTAATTTTTTTTGTGAACATCTGAATCATGAACTTGAGTTCAAATTCTTATGACTTAATAAGCAGAACTATTGATATATGTCAGTGATTTTTCTGTGTCCATAAACATATAAAATAGCTGTCAGTATTATTATTGTTGGCTTCTGCTCATGAGCACTTACAGCCATTGTTGTTGATTTTACTCATACAAATAAAAAAAACACTCAATGTTGTTAACATTTTTATCTGTCCATGACCAGTTACAATCATAATTACCATTATTGATGTTACTTGTACAGATGAAAGAACAGTCAGTGTTGTTGTCTCTGTCCATGAGCATTTACAATGATCATTGTTGTTTATGTTACTTGAACAGACGAGAGCAGTCAACATTGTTAATATTGGCATCTGTCCATGATCATTTACAATCATTGTTGTTGATGTTATTGTACAGATGAAAGAACAGTTGACATTGTTAATTTTGGCCTTTGTCCATGAACAGTTACAATCACAATTCATGTTATCAATGTTATCTGCATGATGTTAACTTGCAGAGATAGGAATAAAAGCTGAGATGTAACTAGAACGTAATATGGAAGATACGTATGAATTAAAAGTTATGGTATAAGACCAGAGCATAATATAGAGAACAATAAAAGTTATGAAATGTTATAAAACAGTAAGAAATATAGAATTAAAACTGTAAAATGTAATTACGGAGGATAGAACTGAAAATTAAAAGAATAAGATGGGACCAAATGAATAAAAAAATTAACTAATACCGTAAAATTATTATTCTGCAGTTGTTTTTTGTGTGTTCACTGTAAATTGAAATACTTCATATCAGTATGTTACGTGTTTAATTGTATGGTTCACATGTGAAAGCCTATGGAGTAACAAGTGATTGGTTGTTCCACTGTCATGATGTAATGAGTAGCGTTATTATATGTGTTGATTATTTGTATTCAGTTTTTTTTACTGCTCTATGATATTGTTGAAACATATTTTTTTAATATTAATTTCTTTATTCTTTAATATTTTCTGTGGTCTTCAAGGCTCATCAAAATTATGACGTGCATTATATTCGTATTTTACTAAATCAAAACTACTCTTCACTGCTTTTAAATAGGGGAACCAAGATCTGTTACTTATGTTTTTTTTAATTGAAGTGCTTTTCATATGTAATGTTTATAGAAAAGTAAATTTTATTTATATTTTTGCTAGTCTAGATTTAAGCTTAAAACCAGGGAAAATATATCGTTTATTTTCCTTTGGAATTTAATGTGCCTTTTTATTGTTAAAAAACCTTGCCATGGTTGTAACTACTATGAAAGAAATGAATTGCTTTTGCATCATAATAAATATTCAAAGTTTCATTTGTTTCTAAAGATAGTCGTGTTGTGTAATGGAAAATATTTAAACATCTTCAGTGGTTATTCACTTTGAAGAGTTGTTTTGCTGAAGTAGTGGAACGAGTTTTGACATCAGATGTGCTACTGAGGCTTGTTAAGATTCAAATTGATCGTTGATGTTAGATTTTTACATGACAACCTAGAATTAAGTGAAATAGTATTACATATCAGCGTTACATATCAGAAGCAAGGTAATTAATTGTGGCGATCTGCCGAGATTGTATATAGTCTTTATATATATATATATATAGTAAAAAATGGCCTTGTGACACCCAAGTCTTAGTTTTGAGATTTTTTGTAGAATAAGTATGATCCAATAATAAAAGCATTAGTGAAAAGAATACAGTTTTAGAGAGTAATTGCTTTAAAGCTGAGTATAGGTGCAAAATAGTACATTTCTTTTCTAGGAATTAAAAATTGATTTTTATACGAATTGAGAAGTGTATGTGTATTTTATTATAGCGTCTTTCTGTTTGCTTATTCACAATGAATCTCGTGATTAATTTTAAAATATTTATATTCAGTAAAACAGGTGCCAGTGTGAATCTTATCTACGAGTTCCTAAAGAGGCATTTGAAGTCCTCTTATACTAGCTGGGTTGTTTGATGGTTTTGAGCCCTGTTTTAGTTTTATGTTTGTAGTTATAGTTTGGTTTATGGCCTTCAGTGGGTCAGTAGTTAGTTTACGGATTAAACGCTAAAATCTGGGATTCGATTCCTCGCGATGAAGAGAGTAAAGACAGCCAAATGTGGCTTTGCGCAAAAACAAGTTTCGGTTACAAGACCATGCTTCTTCACATACACATATATTTATTTTCAGCATATTCATTATTGGGTTTATACAATGTTAGTATTGCTATGTTTGTGAAATTTTTATGCAAGTTCACTGAACTGACAATAGATTATAGAGGCCGGGTTTGTTGGAGGTTTAACGACCGTATTTTTGGCATATGGGTAATTCGATATATGATTATATTACGTTCATGATTTTAAAAATCTATGGGATAATGGTGATGGCATTGATGATATGTAAACTGGTTTACTTGAGCCTTCAAGCACTGACAACTCTGTTCTTCTTGGATCATCATCATCATCGCACTGCACTACAGCTATCATGGATTTATTAAAGATTTGTGACGGCATTTCTGTAGTCACTGAGTCGTGCAATGACATTGGCAATTTATTGACACCAACAAAATCACTTAATGAAACATGCCAAGCTATCAGTGATCTATCAAATTCTGAAAAGTATTCTTACCTTTATAAGCATGTGACACCACCAAAAGTTTTTCCTACAACCTTTTATCATGAGTGTAAGCGCAAGTTTAAAATAGCTTGGCTTGGAAAATACCAGTGGTTATTTACAGCCCAAATGGCATTTTCTGTGGTCCTTGTGCTACCATTCTTCCTGTGCCTAGTCGACGTGATAAAGTAGCACATGTCAACAAATCATTTAACAACTGAGTATAAATTAAGCTTGTTTCTAATCGTGATTCTGTGCAGGGTACTGATTCGTTTAAGGCTTCCATTGAACATCCATTATCCGTTAGAATTGTTTATTATAGAGAAATACATACACGTATTATAGATACGGGCATGCAACGTTTAGACTCTCTACTTAGGTCATATTATCAGGCAAGAAAAATAACGATAATTTGGCACATTAGAGAATACAAGATTAAAATAATGTTCTAATAGCGTGAAGCGAGAAAAATAATAAAATTAACCAAGAACATCATTGACTATTTATATACAGCATCTATGGGGGGCGAAGAAATACGAAATTTTAAGTAAGCATTTCAATTAAAGGGAACTTTTTAAATATAAAAATCCCATAAAAAATAACGTGGATATTATTGTTATTTATTTAGCGTAGGCTTATGCCAATTGAACTAGAAATTAATTGCTATTATAGTATTTCTTAATATTGTTACGTCTCCGTTTGTTAATTAACTTTCCGTAACTT